CATAGGGACCAGAAACATGGTACAAAAAGGTCACAGTAGACACAACATTGAACACAGGGAAGCCATATTACAAAGCCAAAGAACTAAACCTATGATAACCATAACTGAAATCTAGGGAAACAAGAAACAGTACAACAAAGGACTCAAAACATAATCCATAATATAAAAACACAAGATCTCTTCAAAATAAAATAGGAAACATAATGAGACGCAGACATGACAACCAGAACTTGACAACGTAAGACGCAGACATGAGACACATGAAGAGCAGGGGAGACTTAACAGGGGTTGGATACACAAGGGGAATCTAATAAACAAATGAACTTAGATGACCTAATGAACAAAATAAACTCAAACTTAAAACGCTGGGTCAAAAGACCCAGGATCATGACAGCCAGTGACATTCAAAAGTGTGAACATCTATCAGCAGGACAGTAAGTCAGCAAAGTATGTTACCTTTAATGGATCGGGCGAGTCCGTTTTTAAGCCAACAAAATCACTTCATAACTGTAGAAGAAATTTTGTTGATTAAGTAAGTACACTTGTAATGAAACCGCTCTGCAACGAGACTGAGACGCCTCCTCCAGGGTCACACAAGTGAGATTATAATGTTCACATCTGTGCAATCAAACTGCACCAAATAAGAAAATGAACCAGAGTTCAGTTTGAACAGACTAAACAGGGCATTTGTACACAGTCTTTACCTTACATGTTCAAGAGAGACGGGTCTGCTTTTGTGGCTTTACTGGCGTCTGAACGCTGACAGAGAGGAATCTGTGCAAGAGTCTCAGTCTGTTATCAGCTAAATCCACAAAAACTAAAATAATGATCACAACTCTACAAATAAGGGATTTGAAGTTGAACGTTAATGTTTTTACTTCTTAGCATGCAGGCAGAAAGAAATGGTAACTCAATATGAGTCTAAACTGAGTTCACTGATTTGAGTAAAATAAAAGGCTCTGTTTGCATCTATGGAAGCATGTAGCGTCAGCGCTCACTGGGCGGAGACTCGTGCTCAGAAGTGTTAAAAGTTACCTTTTAAATATACGTCAGCACGTGCGTTCAAATCCATACATGCTTTTTCAAGAGCGGACGCCGTCGGCCACGCGTGAGCTCAGCTGCGAGCGATTTGTCGAAGCGTTTCCTCGAACCATTTAAGAGCAAGTGTGAATGCGTGACACACAGACAGAAGACAAGAGGTACATACTGTAACATATTTTGTATCATAAACTTTCACCCGCATCTTCCAATCAAATCCTCAGATCTAAAAGAAAAAAAAAAGAAAAAAATAGAGAAAAAGAAAAAAGAGATGAAAGTCATCGGGTATCTGACCGGCGTTCCTTCGTGCATGAGCCTCGTACAGTAGAAGTAGCACTACTGATCATAGGAATTTATAAAGCATATCAGAGAAAAAAAGAGAAAAAAACACGACATAGTGGGGAAGAAAATCTCATCATCTGTTCTTTTGCATGACGACTCTTATTGTTTTCTCTCCTGCCAGTCGTTGCTTTGTTTTCCTCATCCCCTCTGTCCCTGAATCTTTTCAAGACGAGTGTTTGCACCACCGAGCAGTTAGATTACCGAGAAACAGATTATTATCAGTGAATCATTCAGGCATGTTCCTCGCCAGAATGCAAAGTGTGTATGCGCGAGGTCGGGGCGGCTGTTGCGTGTACGTGTGAATGCGTGTGTGTGTTCGTATGATGAGCAGTCACAAATATGCATGGATACCGTTATAGGTATTTTATCTGTTTTCTCCTGCAGTTTAACGAGAGAGCGGGGACTGGACGGACGGGCTGTTCGCTGGACGGATCTTTGGCTTGTTTTCTGAAATACCTTTGCAGTCTCAATGTTTTCGTTTTATTCTGTAGCTCCAGCTGGCATCCACCCCCCCGCTGTCTGTGTCATTCAACTGAATTTTTAAAAACTGATTTTACAAAGAGAGAAAAGCTTAATTCAAACAAAAAGTTGGATTTTAGAGCCAAAAACACAAGATTACACAAAAAAGGAGCATTGACGCCCACTCGCTTACTCTTTAAGTCAGTTATTATCAAACTTAAAGATAGGTTGTGTTCAATTAGCTGATACACTGTGGCCTCTTTGGCCTTCTGACTTTTATTTTTTTTACATTTCCTTTACTTTACACGTTTCTTTTGATTATTATTACTTTTAAATTCCAAAACTGTGAAGCAAGTTCCTTTTTATTGTCGGTATAAATCCAGTGTTATTTCATGAGTGAGGTACTGTCACTCATGCAGATGCTGATGGGTGGAGCCATGACTGGGAATCATGGCATTACTGTAATTTACTGGGATCTGCTGTTTAATGTCATGTTGCTTTGGTGTCTCTGGAAATCAGGAAACATCTAAATTTAAATTTGAGCGTCGTTCTTTGGTAATTTAGTCCTGTCACAAACCTTCATAGAGATGTAATATATACGTTTCAGTCATGGCTCAGAACAGGACACACGTGCGGTGATTTAGGGGGTGACGCTGTCCTGGGGACTGGCCTGACCATGAGATGTAATAATCACGGTTTAAGTGTAGTGATTACCGCAGTCATAGATTTTATTGTGATTGGTCGGCAGGTCCAAATTCATCCATTAACCCCCCGCCCCCCCTCCCCCCCTCCAGTCAGATGTTCTCTGTATGTCACAGTTTCAGCACGAGGTTTAAAGAGCAACCTAATGATTCCAGTTATTAATGAGAAATGTAATGAGATGAAATTAAATGTTTTCCTTGATGCTGTGTTTAGATTTTTTCCTTTATTTGTGGAATAAGCAACAGGAATCTCCTGACGAGGATCCGGAGTCTTGGGGAAAAATATAAACTGTTCTTTCTGTTACTGTTGCTTACACTGTTATATGTTCCCAGAAGCCCAAAGACTACTCATAGAACCAGAGTTACGTGTGCAACAGATGTGATGAATGTGTGAACGACTGTTTCCAGTTAAAACTGGGTGTTAAGTTGCTCTTTAACTTATTTATGTTGTTTTGAGAATGACGTGGTGGTTCTGAAGCGTTTGAGCACAGCTAATTCAATCTAAATGTCACTTTGTTTTAAATGTCAGGTGAACCTGACTGAAGCACACTGGTCTGATCCTGAGGTGACACAACGGGAGCTTCGATGAGATGATAAGCAGCATTTCAGACGCCTCAGAGTTAAAGTGTTGATGTTCAGTCTCAGAGAGAGAGTGAGGAGCGATGGATGAATGACGGAGAAAACAGCATTAAAGCACAGAGGTGTATATTCCATTCCACTAATAAAGACAACAGAAATCAGAATGTGGTGTGCTGCGTTTGTTCCTCAACATTTATCCTCCACTGTTACAAACTGCTCGTGCAAGTCCAGCAGTTTGTAACAAACCCCAAACTGTCCAGCAATTCCCCAGACTCGCTCTTGGCTCATTATTTCGGGGTCTATTTTGTATCTAACTTGTGAGCTCTGGCATGTATGGATTCAGGGGTATGCTTGGTAAAACACTGACCTCTAGTGTCGTGTATACAGATTACAAGCCACTGTGTTTCCTTGTACCCCTTATTCTGACATGGACACTTAGAAAAAAATGCCCTGTACCAAATTTTGTTACCAGATAAAATGGTACAGAAATCTGGAGGCACATTTGCAGATTCACATAATAATAAATATGTAAGAGGAAATTAAGTGCTCCTGCAAATATCACAGAAACACCCATCATTTTAAAAGTGATCTGATATAATAGAGCTCCTGGTTTTCTGAAGCTTCTCTGCTTTTCACTCATTTTCAGTCCACTCCTGATATCTGACCATTTTCAGAGGATTATTTTGTCTCTTGTTGAAGCACTGAACACTGACCTATGAATCAAGGCAGCTAATTCAAGGGATTGATGTTGTGTCTACACATAGCATACATTTTCACTGCTATGCAGATGACACCAAACTTCAAGATTCAAGATCCTTTATTTGTCACATAAATGTCGCATAAATATACAACACGCAGTAAAATGTGTCCTGACACACTCAACTGTGCAAAAAAGAGAGAACATTATATACTTTATCTATCAACTTTATCTATCACAGTGGTTCTTAACCTTGTTGGGGGTACCGAACCCCACCAGTTTCATATGCGCATTCACTGAACCCCTCTTTAGTGAAAAATAAAATATGATTTTTTTCAAATTCAAGACATAGATATGATTTTTATTGGTGCACAAAATGAGCCGTGCATGTCACGGTGGAGGCTCTGCCGAACCCCTTAGACCGACTCACCGAACCCCTAGGGTTCGATTGAACCCAGGTTAAGAACCACTGATCTATCAACTTTATCTATTCATGAAGCCAGGTAACACACACGAATTGCTTAAACTGCAGGAATGTCCTGGATGGCCTCTAACTTTCTGCTTCTTAATTCAGATCAAACTGAGGTTATTGTACTCGGCCCTGAAAATC